GTCAGGGCTGTGGCTCAGAGGTAGAGTGCTTACCAAGCATGCATCAGGCCCTGGGCTTAGTCCTCAGCACCACATGAAAATAAAAAGTTGAGCTCATGGAAATGGAGAACAGAGAGTGGCTACCACATGCTGGGGAAGTTGGCAGGTGGTCTGGGGAAATGCTGATGAAAAGTTTCCCCACAGCCCCATTTAGACAGGAGGATTATGCCCAAGAGATCTCTTGTAAGGCATAGCTGCTAGGCTTAGTGACAGTGCAGTGTATAATAGAAAATGTTGAGCTGGCATTAAGTATTCTCACCACAACAAGAACTCACGAGGGACTACAGGTGTTAACTTTTCAGATATAGCCATAATAAAAAACAAAATTCTTCTAAACAGCATATTGCACATAATTTATATATACAATTTTATATGTCAATTTAAAGAAATACACAAATGAGTTGAAAAACAGAAATGGTAAAGAAAATTAAAAAGAAAGTTTTCTTGGGGCTGGGGTTGTGGCTCAGTGGTAGAGTGCTCGCCTAGCATGCAGGAGGCACTGGGTTCGATTCTCAGCACCACATAAAAATAAAGTCCATCAACAACTAAAAAAATATTTAAAAAAGGAGAAAGGTTTCTTTTTTTTCCTACAACATTGTGAATTTGAAATGCTGTATAAAAGCTCCAAAGATTATGAAATGGAGGCACCTCATGATATTTCCCTAGGGGACACCTTACTATTTTTAAGTCAAAATGATTCAAAAAAGAGTTTTTTTTTCTTTAATAAAGTCAACTCATCTTCTCTTGCCACTGCCTCCACAGAAACAAAAACGACTGGGAATTTTCCTCTTTGCCATCTCCCTTGTACCCCAAGGGAACTGAATGGTTTGGAGAGTGGGAAGACTATAGAATAATTTATTTAATGAGGAGCTCTGAGAATCCAAACTCTGAGAGAGGAGAAACTTAATAATGCTCCTGGTGCTCCCCACCTGTACTTCTCTACTATCTGCCTGTCTAAAAACCAAAGTCCTCTTTCTATGGACAGGTTGTAGAGGAGAGAGGCTTCAGAGAGACTCACTGGAGAGTCAGTGTGTCCTGGTAAGGCTGGCAGATGAAGAAGGAAAATGGGAGACAGCGTGGATACTGGGCTTTGCCTCTAGGACAATGGAAATGGAAATAGGATTTCATATTTCTTTAGGCTGTGAAGGTGAAATCTCTTTGAAGGCACTCTAGTCTCCACTGAGATCTTTCTCTTCAATCTGTTTCTCACTCTTTGGAATCTAGATCCCCTCTCCTAAAAGAGTTAATTTCTGGAGAATCTCCAACTCCTCCTGACTCTTTCCCATAGTTCCTGTCAGGTTTCCAGCCTCCCATCATTTATCTGTTAAATGCTATTATGCATGATGTATTGATTATTTTATTCTAAATTTGATTTTTTTAATGGTTACATCTCATGATTATATGTATTTGCATATTTGACTTACTGATAGATCTCATTATTTCTTCATCTTTATTTATTCATTCATTATTTGTGAGTCTGGAGATTTAACCTAGGAACTCACTCATGCTTAGGCAAGTGCTCTTGGTTCAATATTGCTCAAGTTATCATTTTGCCTTGAGGTAATCAGTAATCTAACATTGGCATAATTGTTTCTGATGTTCAATACTCAGTCCAATATTCTTTTCTTATATTTATCAATCTCCTTCAATATTTAACAGTTGAATCTGGAGGAGACTTCACTTGTATGCTTATGAATTTAACAAAGAGACTGTAGCATAAGTCAGCATCTCTTGGATGTTGTCTGAAAACAACCATTTTTTATTGGGTTAGGGACTGTGCTTGGTCTCTTCATTCACCGCCAGCCTCAGCCCTGGCTGGTACCTATAGTAATGGCAGGAGGATTTTCTCAAATCCATGCATATATCGAGCTTATGTTTATGACTTCACATCATTGAAGTAGTTTGTGACAAATTATTTTGTTTTAAACTGGCTTCTGTGCCTGAAATAGGTATTACTTTTAGACCTGTTTTACTGTTTAAAATAGATACGAATACACTTATTTAACTTTGTATTTGATTCTGTGTCTATATACAGGTATATGAAAAACTGGAAGATTTCCCTTTTGTTTTCTGCTAGGCATTTTGATCTTGATATATATTAAGAATCTATGTTATGTGTTGTGTTTGTTCAGCACCTATCATGTGACAATACCATTGAAGTCTCTGAACAAGTAATAACCCCAAATTGTCAGAGCCAAATATGAACACCAACTGAGAGGGTTGTAAAGACCACAGAAGCTCCACAGTGGGCCTTGCACATTCTGTCCCTGCTGACCTTCCTGACCCTCATCTCCTGCTCTCCCTCACACTGGCTTCCCTAATCCCTCTAGTACCGGCTCACATCTGAGAGGGTAACTGAACATTCTGTTCACTCAACCTACAATAGTTCTTCTTTCCTATGTCCCCTGTTTAACAATGAATGCTTCTTCCTCTCCTGGCTCAAACATTCCTATTTCAGAGTAGACTTCCAAACCACTTCTACAGGGTAAATTTGTCCCTAGTGTTTTGTTTTTTTTTTTTTCCGTCTTGAGCTAATGTCCTCCTCTAGGTGTTCCTAATAATTACCTTTTGTGTCATGGAACATAAACACATTTTAAAATTTCAAACTTGCCTTTTGATTTTGGAATATTTTAGATCAAATTCATCAATTAAATATTTTGGCCATTAAGTCTATTGATTTTAATATATCGTCTCTCAAGACCATGGACACATGAGAATGCACCTCAGACCTGCCTTGGGTTAGACTGTTATGGTCTTGTGATTTCCACCCCTCACCCCCTGATCCATGTGGTCCCTATTCTTTTTCCTCTTAGAACAATTCATCCAGCAGATATTCTCTGAAAGGACCTTTAGAGATCTTCATTAATTGTGCTTTATGGCAATCAGGAGGGAAACAGCTGTTGAGCTTACATGAGTAAGAATTCCATCCTTGATGCCTACCATAGTTTGAGGGATTTTGCTAAATGATAGATTTATTGACATATTAAATACAGAAGCTGACATTTATGAGATGCCCATTTTAAGTCACAGGAAGGTATCATAGCAGAAATTTAATTACACTGTATAATTAAATTTTACTCTTCATATCATGTAGTAGATGTACATCTGCTATAGAGGTGACGTACTTGTAATTAAGATCATTCAATAACTTTCTCAAGGTCACAGAGATGGTGTGTTGATAGAGCAAACTCTATTCCTGGAAGGCTGACTTCAGAATCCCATTTTTAAATCACAGCTCTATAGGATCCACTGAGAGATGTATATATCCAAAGAATCACAAAGGAGGGGATTTTACATAACTTTTTTTGTAGTAACAACAATAGCTATAGTTTACTGAACTGCTCTGAAACAGAATAGCATTTTTACCTCACAATTGTGGTAATAGCAATAACTTCATATTTAAATAAAAAATAAGGCACTGAAAGAGAACTATCACAACACTATTAAGTGCTGAGTCACAGAATAAAGATTGTTGAAATAAAAATCCACAACAAGCACAGATAATATAACAAAAACATATGAAGGTCTTCAATTCCTATGGTTGGGTCACATTGAGGAAAACATTAGCTCATTTCCATAGATTTAAAAAGGGAATTGAAAAAACAGATAGTTAAATCCTGTGACTTGATGATAAAAGAGAATAATTTTTTATTTATAAAATAATAATTATTTGTGCATATTAATTGTGCAGATTCATAGGTTTGACTGTGACATTTCCTTACATACTTGCATCGTGCATTGACCACATCCACCATCCCTGGTATCCTCTCCCCTCCTGCATGTCCCCCTCTCCTCCCCCTTGCCCTCTTACTCCTTTATTGCTAGGACTTCTTTTATTTTCAGGACTTTTCTTTTTTTTAAGTTTCCACACTTGAAAGAAAATATGCAATGCTTGTGTTTCTGTGTCTGGCTTATTCCATTCTTCTCTGTGGCTGAGTAATTCTCCATTGTGAGTATGGACCACATTTTTCTTCTCCACTCATCTGTGGATGGACACCTAGTCTGACTTGATAAAGTTCCTACTGTGAATAGAGTTATCATCAATATAAGGTATGCACACACCTCTTTTGCATGCTGAGTCCAATTTCATTGGGTATACCAGGAGTGGTACAGCTGGATTATGTGGAAGTCACTTTTTTAGTTTTTTGAGGGACCTCCATTCTCTTTTCCATAGTGGATGTACTGATTTGCATTCCCACTGACAGTGTTTGTAGGTCTTTTCCCGGACACCCTCACCACCATTTGTTATTTTTATTTTGTTGATAGAACCCATTCTGACTCCAGTGAGGTTAGATCTCAGTGAAGTTTTGATTTGTATTTCCCTGAAGACTGCAGATGGTGAGCATTTCTTCATATATGTATTGGTCTTTTGTAATTCTTTTGAGAAATGTCTGTAGAGTAAGATCCTGTACCCATTTATTGATTGGATCCTTTTTCTTTACTGTTAATTTTTTTTTGTTCTTTATATATCCTGGATTTTACCTAGCAGATATGTCTCCATTCTCTGGATGTCTCTTTACCTATTGTTTCCTTTGCTGTGCAGGTTTTAGTGTAATGTCATTGCATTTGTCAGTACTTCCTTTTGTTTCCTGAACTACTGGAGACCTATTCCGGATATTATAGCCTGTGACAGTGTCTTGAACTATATACCCCTATTTTCCAATGGTTCTTTCAAACTTTTACGACTCAATTTAATGTCTTGGAATCTAGTTACAATTGTCTACATGTGGATATCCACTTTTGATTTCTGGTCATTTAAAGAAAGTCCATGTGATTATATACTTTAAGGGAGAAATGGGCTGTCACATGGTTGAGAAAAATCACACTCACTAGTAGGAGAAACTAAGGATGAAGGATTTCCATCCTAGGGAGAGCTCATAAAGAGCTAAGTAACTGGGATTCCAGATGGCTATTCATTGAAACTTACCTTTACCTGCTTCTGTAAGAGATACACCAGCAACATGGAAGCTGAGAACCACACAGTCCTGTCACAGTTCCTCCTCCTGGGCCTCTCAGATGATCCCAAACTGCAGCCTGTCCTCTTTGGGATTTTCCTGTCCATGTACCTGGTCACAGTGCTTGGGAACCTGCTCATCATCCTGGCCACCACCTCTGACCCCCACCTCCACACCCCCATGTACTTCTTCCTCTCCAACCTGTCCTTGGCTGACATCTGCTTCATCTCCACCACGGTCCCAAAGATGCTGGTGAACATCCAGACACATAGCCATGACATCTCCTACACAGAGTGCCTGACTCAAGTGTATTTTTTCCTTATGTTTCTTGGAGTGGATAATTTTCTGCTGACGGCGATGGCCTGTGACCGCTTTGTGGCCATCTGCCACCCCCTGAACTACACAGTCATCATGAACCCTCGGCTCTGTGTTCTCCTGGTTCTGACATCTTGGCTCATCATGTTCTGGGTCTCCCTGATTCATGTTCTACTGACGAAACAACTGACCTTCTCCACAGGCACTGAAATCCCACATTTCTTCTGTGAAGTGGCTCAGCTTCTCAAGGTGGCCAGCTCTGACACCCTCATCAATATCATCTTTTTGTATGTGTCAACTGCTTTGCTGGGCATGATTCCTATGACAGGGATCCTCTTTTCTTACTCTCAGATTGTCTCCTCCTTAATGAGGATGTCCTCCATTGAGAGCAAGTACAAAGCCTTCTCCACCTGTGGGTCCCACCTCTGTGTGGTCTCCTTGTTCTATGGAACAGCACTTGGGGTTTACCTCAGCTCTGCTGTGACCCATTCTCCACAGGGAAGCACAGTTGCCTCAGTGATGTACACTGTGGTCACCCCCATGCTGAACCCCTTCATCTACAGCCTGAGGAATAAGGATGTGAAGGGGGCCCTGGGGAGACTCCTCAGCAGAACAGCCTCTGATCCTTAAGGAATGACTGACCTGAGAAGTAGAGGGACAGTGTGGCCTGTAGGGCAAATGTTGTGTTTCAATGTCCAGCGCCAGGCTCTGTTTCTTTCCTAAAACATGCATTTGATTTCTTCTATACCCTATGCCTTTGCTTCTGTAGATTTTTGTATACCTCCCTAACAACTCCTTCAGTGTTTTCTTTTTAATTTTCTCCTCTGTATGTAGCCCATAATATTTCAAGTTTTGTAAGTCTTCTCACAGGCATTTCTAGATTTCCAACTTGACATGAAGAACTTATATCAAATGAAGACATGGTTTCCTGAAAAATTATGGCATGAATATTCTCCACCTTAATGTGATTTTGTTCTTTTTTCTCTGGAATAAATGAAAATCATCAGAACAAAGTGCTACCAGGCTATGCTTGTGACTCTATGTTTGTGTATATATTCATTTTGGAGGGATTTGAGACATTTTCTGTTTTTATTTCTTCACATGATTTCTGAAGAGAAGCAACATATTGGATGGATTAAAACATCAAGCTAAAAATGAGCACACCCTAATACCCTTGTTTTCCTGCTTTTTGTAGCAGCAGTGATTGAATTTTGAATATGAAGGATACAATCCAGCTTTAAAAGAGCATGTGTTTCTCTGTTACACAGTAATATAATGCCTATGATATTCTGAAAGATTGTTTCATTCTTTTTTGGGGGGAGGGGTACTGGGGATTGAACTCAGGGGCACTCAATCGCTGAGCCACATCCCCAGCCCTATTTTGTATTTTATTTACAGACAGGGTCTCATTGGGTTGCTTAGCACCTTACTTTTGCTGAGATAGGCTTTGAACTCACGATCTTCCTGTCTCAACCTCCCGAGCCACTGGGATTACATACCCAACTGCTTAATTCTTTTTGATCTATAATTTCCCCTTTCTTCCTTCTTACCTTCATATTTTCTCCTTCTTTCATTCCCTCCTTCCTTAGTTTCCTCATTTCTTTGGGCTCTTTTGTAGGTTAAAGTTAACTATCTTCTTTACTATGGCTAAAGATCGACTTTAAGTATACACCACAAGTTGTTTATCCATTGATGGACATGTGGGTTATTTCCACCTTTAACTATTAGTAAATTACTGCTCTGGATATGCACAATTGGGTATTCTTTGTGTTGCATAAATGATGCTTTGGTGAATGACAGGCTGTCTGTGTGATGGTGATCCCATAAAACTGGATTGCCTAGTGGTGTCACAGTCATGGTAGTTTATGTAAGTGCACTGCAGGATGATTGAACACTGATAAAATTGCCTAATGTTGCATTTCTCAGAATATATTCTCATTGTTAAGCAGTGTGTGACTACATGATTCTCATTTTACTGGTAATGTATATAGGGATGGGACAGCTTGATTGTGTGGTATTTCACTTAGCAGAATTATCATGCAGGTTTTTGTTGTGGCCAGCAAATTTTATATTTTAATGTATGGAGGTTCTGTTATCTTGCATCCTTGCCAATATTAATGATATATAATTTTATATAAAGTATGCCACTCTTGACTCTGAAGTAGCACCTCATTTGCTTTTGATTTGTGTTTCCCTGTGAGTCATTGAGCATCTTTTCAGGTGCTTCTTTGAAGTTAATGCATCTTCTATGCAGAAATGCCTTATTAAATCTTAGCTCATTTAGCAATTGTGTAGATTATGCTTTTATTTCCTGTTAAAATTTCATTATTTTGTCAGGATACTTGACCCTTATCAGATGAATGTTTTAATAATATTTTTCCATTCTGTATGCTAGTATTCCCTTTTCCTCAAACGTGCAGTTTAATGTTAATTATGCCCACCTTGATGTGCAAGAAATCCATTGAAGTTATTTCTGTCTAATGGAAACTTTGTATCATTGGACCAACATCATGTTGCCCATAATGACATTTAAGGCTCCGTTTTCTCCATATACTCACCAGCCCTTGTTGTCATCTGTGTTTTTGACAATATCCCCTCTAATGTGTGAGATGATGTCTCCTTGCAGTTTACTTTGCATTAAACTAATGAATAGTGACAGTGAGCATTTTCTTCATATACTTGTTAGATATTTGTGTATATCTATCTATCTATCTATCTATCTATCTATTTATCTGTCTGTCTGTCTATCTATCCATCCATCCATCCAGACACATTCAAATACATATAGGTGAGTAATCATTGTCTCAACCAATATCATAGTGTTTTCTCTAGTTGTCTTCTAATAGTTTTATAATTTCAGGTCTTACATTAGAATCTCAAATTCTTAGTCATTTTTATGTGCATGTTGTCACAAAGGGTCTATGTTCATTTTTCTATGTATGGATATCCAGTTTTCCTAGAATCATTGACTGAACACATTTCTCCTCCTCCAACCATGTGTTCTTGACATTATTGTCAAAAATAGTTTAATTATGAATTGATTCATAAACTGGTGCATTCATTTCTGGACTTGCTGTCCTGTTCCATTGTCTTTATGTCCATTTTATGCCTCTGTTAGGCTCCATTTCCTTGATAGTGTGTCTTGGTGTGTATAAATTTTTGAATTTATTTAAGAGCAACATAACTTTTTTTGTTGTTGTTGTTTGGTTTTTGCTTTTTTAACTGATGAATTTGGGTCATTTCAAAAATCCAAGGTGAAGATGTAATATTCAGGTCTATTCTAAAAGATTTATGATTTTACCCATAATACTTAAACTATTGGATTTTTGGGGTTATATATGGTGTGAGCTAGGTCTCCAAATTACTTTCTTTTTATTAAATTCATTCCTAGAAATTTCACTAGATATGTTTGTGAATCACATCATTAAATATATCTATTTGGCAGTGAAACATGACACTCAAGTGTTCTCCTTATCTAAAAGGCATTGCAAGGAAGGCAATTATGTTTATAGAGAAATAGGTGAGAAAGTAATGATTATGGTTGATGGAGCCCTAGTCATGGTTTTTCAGTTCTCATACTTAAGGCAAGTCTTCCCCAAATTATAATGCATATTCATGATGAATAAGCTCTCATGGGTCTCTGTTCTTATTGGCATTTATGTTTCCAGGAAGCCAACTTGGAAATTAGGGCACTTGTTCCTGAAATGTCTTGGAGAATGTGATTGGAACAAATATCTGTGTAGAGAATTTGAACAGATTTCACTATTCCAATAACTATAGGAAAAGACCTGTAAAAGGCTTAAGTAAACCAGATAAGACATCACAGTCATATCTATCAAGTGGTGATCAGGAAAGGGTTCTTCTTCCTCAGTGTTAAAGAATTAACACTCAAGAAATGCCGAGGCAAGGGTAGCAAACATGTTTTATTTAGGGAAGGGATAGAGATAGACTTCTCCAAAGAGAAGGGGGACTCGAGCTGCAAACCCATGAGAGAGGGTGTGATTTAATTTCTTATAACCCTGGAATCCCCCTCTTTAATCATTGTCTTCTCTTTCTTCCATGCATATGTGAATGACAGCAAGAGTGTAGGGGTTAACCATTAGCAAACATTGTTCTCTCTTCAATAACCTGTCATCACCCTCTCAATCCCCATCACTGATTACTGCACTGACTGCCTAACTTTTACCTCTGTCTCATTCCTCACTCAAGAACTTTGGGTCCTTAAATCTTCTTAGGGCATTTGGGTTCCAACTCATTTTGGCTCCTTCCTGCTGAAAGTGGGTGGTTTTTGGAGAATGAAACCTGAAGTCTTTATTCTCTATCAGGTGGGGCAGTATTTAGCATTATTAGGACAGTCCAGAGGGCCATGATGACTGTTGTTGGGTGACTGGATGAGGTGAGATCATGCTAAGATAATAATAAGTAAACAGCAAAACATTATTTTTTGCAAACAATCAGCGTGAAAGCAATCAGTATTATTGGCTGGTCTCTGGACACCATGAAGATGGTAACTCATTAAAGCTCTAAGTGGGATCCACATGCCACTGATCTTTGACTGGAGGCCAGTTAAGGAATTGGAAACATTAGCAGAGTTGTTAGAGACATATACATAACATTTAGTTTTTTATAATATCACAGATATCCTTGTGAACTCTATTTAAGATATTGAATGCCATCTTATTTTTGTAAAATATCTTTCTATTGGCAATACCTCTATGTTTAGTAGAGATCACTTTATCTCTGTCACTTAGGACTTTCTTGGTAAAGTTAATTGGTAATTTTATGTGCCATATTACATTATTTAGACGAGTATGAGGGATAAATATTGGGGCTAGATGCCATACTAGTAAACATAGACCAAGCCTGCTTACGTGGAATGTTAGGAATCTCAAAGTGATTCACAATAGCTTGTGACTCTGACAGTCTCTTTTGATAGTTATCAGACAACTCCTGTCTAAAAACCCTTCGTTTAAAACCTCCAGCTTTACTTACTTTAGGCAGGCTGACACAAGTACAACTTAAAATGCATTAAAAAACTATTGTCTTTCTTTTTAAATACCCAGGTATGTCTGTGTTTTAGTTATAACTCTCTTGCTAGATGTTTAAGACCAAGTTAGTCAAATTGACCTTGTTTCTATCTACTGTTAAGAGTCAATTAAGATTCTTCAGGGAATCACTCTTGGGAACTTGAAAGAAGCCTCT